GTCCATCCAGGGCCGTAACTCTGAGAAGTCCTGTGCTTTCCAACAATCATGAGGCGGAGACTAGCTGCCTTTCCCAAGAGGACCCAGGGTGAGGCCTTGCCCCTCTGGAAGCCTGCACTGTCTGCTTTGGCCCAGGCCCCCAGGCAGATGCCTTTTCCAGCCCGCCCGGAAGCTGCTTCCACCCTCCAAGCTCAAAGTTGATGCCAAGTTCAGAACGGCCAGGGAAAGAATTTCAAAGGGAGAACGATTCAATTTGCAGGCGACAATGAAGCAAAAATTCAGGGAGACTGAACTTGTCCTTGGCAGAGCGCTGGATGTCTCGACAAATTCTTTGTTCCATTTCCCAGCATGGGTGCAAAGTGGGGCCAGGCGGCCTCAGCTTCCAACTCCCTGTGCCAGCGGGGGAGGGATGTCCCACCCCCTGCCCTTGCCCCTGCCCCCGTGGAGCAGGCTGGGGTTTTATGACGCACTTCGTTTTCAGTCTGTTTGCTGAGTGTGTGAAGTGAGTGGGGAGGGGGAGGACATCCTGCTCAGTACGGTAGAAAGGCAGGGGACACGAAGAAGACCCTCGACGAGATGGATGGACACAGTGGCCGCAGCAGCGAGCTCCAACGTTGTGAGGACGGTGCGGGACGGCGCTGTGTTGTGTTCTGATGGGCGGGGTCGCTCTGGGTTGGAAGTGATTTGAGAGGCCCCGGCGACAGCAACAGCATGTGGAGTTGGAAATGCCCATCTCGTGTGTCCCGTGGATTCTGAAAATTCAACCACAAATGCTTTCCATCAGACTCAAGGTAGTTACTCAGACATCAGCCTAACTGCTCCCCAAATCACCACCTTTAAAAATCCAGGACTGAATTTTTGTAACAGCCTCTCCACGGGACTGGAGTTTGCAGGAGGAAGAGACTGGGATTGAGAGGATCCCTGGTGGCACAGTGGTCAAGTCCTTGATTCTAACCCACCCACGGTTCTGCAGAGGAAAGGTGTGGCAGTCAGCTTTGGTGAAGGTGACAGTTGTGGAGATGCTATGGGGCCGTTCCACTGGGCTCCCGGTCCCCGTGAGTCAGAATAGACTCGACAGCAGTGGGGCAGGACTGGGACGGACTCTCCAGATCCAGAAGGCTGGCTTCTGGGCCGCGAGGAGGACCTCTCTGATGTGAAACTCAGCAGCCACTGTGATGCTCCGGAGCTGACGTGCACACGAGTCGCCCTTGCCAAAGGTCATAATGATGGTGAAGGTGAATGCACACAGACTGCAGAACGAGTCTGCATTTGACGCCGTGGCTGCAAGGCTGAGGACTTTGGCAAAGAACGAATATAATTAAGTGGGGTGGGGAGGATGGTGGACAGGGTTCCCTCCTTTAGGAGCACAGAGAGCAATAGATGCATTGAAACCACAGTGCTGGTGAAGCATATTGAAAGTACCACGGACGGCCAACAAGCAGCTCTGTCTTGGAAGACGTACAGCCAGCATGCTCCTGAGAGGCAAGGATGGCGAGGCTGAGTTTCACGCACCTGGGGCACGTTGTCTGCAGAGACCCGTCCCTGGAGAAGGCCCTCATGCTTGGTAAGGTCGAGGGGCAGTAGGGAGAGGAAGGCCCTTGGCGGGCTGGACGGACATCGTGGCTGCAACCACGGACTCGTGAGAACAACGGGGAGGACGATGCAGGGCCAGGCCACGTTTCCTCCTGTTGTACGTGGGGTCGCTGTGGATCAGAACCGACCGAATGGCTCCTAACCACAACAGGACAGGCTGGCAGAGCAGGGCAGGACGCTGTGGTCTGCTCAGCACAAGGCACACCTGCCCCCAGGACTAGCACGAAACCATCTGAACACCTGACAGGCACCGGCTTCCCCCTGGAGTCTGACCCATCTGCAGTCGGATGAACATTTCCCTGAAGTGTTCTTTTCACATTTCCCCACGTTTGCTTCACCCATGTGGCTTCAGAAGGGTTTGCCGTCTGAAAGTCAGCAAAGACGATTTGGAGGTGAGGGGGAGCTTGTCTGTCCTGCGCGTGCCACGGCCGGCTGGCAGAACAGACAGGCTCAGTGTGGAGTTGCAATTGTGATGATTCTTCTTCTCCAAGGAACTGCAGAGTCTCCTGGGACCTTAGCAGCAACTAGGGGGTTGGAGGGTGGGTGGAGAGTGTGGGTGAATTGCTCATGGGTGTCGCAGCTCCTTCAAACCTTGGGTGATTTCATCAGCTCTCATTCAAAGCTCATTTCCAATTTCAGACAGGTCAGCGGCCATCGTTTCTGGATTGCTCTCTTTTTAACTTCCCGGTGACAGATACGTATCTGCTTGTTTGCTGCACGTTTTCATTGTGATGGGGCATGAACGCTTACAGAGCAAATTGGTTTCCACTCAACAATCCATATGCATTTCGTTTCATGACATTGGTTGCGGCTCCCACAATGCAATAACACGCTTCCCACCCCCTCCCTGTCTCCACCGTTTCTGTTAGCCCTTCTTCCCCATCCCTGCTTGCCTGCTGAGTGTTCTCTGGGAGCTCTTTGCCTGAGGATGGATGCTTTTTCTCAGGTGTGTGTATCTCCCATGTTATTGTTCCCTGGGTTGGATGAAGGTTGACCCACAGGGATGAATTAAGTCCCAGGCTTGAAGGGTGTGTAAGGCCCCACAGTCTCAGGGTTCCCACCAGACCTTACAGATGGGTGAGTCAGATCTTTTTCATGATTTTAAGTTTTGCTCCCATTTTTCTCTTCCTCTACCCAGGACCTCTTCCTGTGGTCCCTTTGTGAGAGGTCAGCCGTGGAAGCTGAGCACGATCTAGTTCTGCTGACCTCAGGGCCAGGGCAGCTGGGCCTGAGTGGTCCTTGTTTCTCCACTTCCTTGATTTTCTTGACTCTGCTTTGGCCAGAAAGGGACACATAGTTGCTCCTTAAGTGGCCGTTCATGAACTTTTAAGACCACAGGATGTCCAGCGGTTCTCAACCTCCCTAATGCCATGACCCTTTCATACAGTTCCTCGTGTTGTGGTGACCCCCCAACCATCAAATTATTCTCGTTGCTACTTCATCACTATAATCTTGCTGCTGTTATGAACTGGGCAACCCAAAGGGGTCACAAGCCACAGGTTGAGAACTGCTGATGGAGACCATTGTCTGTATGCACCAAGCTGACTATGTATTGTCTGTATGCACCAAGATCTTTAAAGTAACCCTTGAAACACTTGTGCTGTCTCTTTTATGTTTCTAACTAGGCAATACTTCTAGCTGCTTTGGGGCTATTTCCCCAAAGATGGAGAAAAGTCTTGCTGCTTAATAGGTGGTATTATGATGGATAGCTTCTTGGATAGGGACCAGATGAGTCTTTTGAAAATGGGGAGTAAACTGAGGTCTGACACCTTGTTCTGATGTTGCATTGCTTTGGGAGTCCTTGGCTGGTGGTGTTCTCTGGGCTCTACTGTGGGCAGGATTTGTGCCAAGGGCATGGCTTTCACTATCTTGGGCCCCGGTGTGCTCCTGACCCCAGTATTCTGGTAGTTCTCTCGGCAAAGGTCTGTGGTTATGGTATGGGAGTGTAAACTACTGATACATCCATCTGAAAGTACCCTTAATGTGCCTGGACTGGTGGTCGATGGCTTAGTTGGCAGTGAATTCTAAATTCTAATTAATTATCTCTCAGTCCCTTGCATGGACATCTCACTTTCTTTCTTTTAATAAGTGTTTTGGTTTATAATTCACATATCATAAAATTTAGTACTTCAATCACATTAAGAAGAGTTGTGCAATCATCACCACTATCAACTACCCCCCCCCAACTCGTCTGCTGTGTCCCTAGGTAATTATTAATTACTGTCCCTATACATTTACCTAGCCAGGATTTCATATACAGAAAGTCATACAAAACGCAAACAATAAACAAGCAAAGAGAATAAAACCACCAACAACGACTAAGCAAAACAGTAAAACATCAATTGAAAACAAATGATTTAAAAATGAACAACTTTAAAATCGGTCAAAAGGGAGATCAGATGATAAAGTGTTACATCTTAACCTAATTACAAATGCCTTCACAGGCTTTACAATGCTCTCGGTCTGAGAGTAAGGCCAGTCATAACCCTGGACCTTGGTCATGAGGAATTTTCCAGAGGCTTAATCCATGTGATCCATGTGAAGATGCTACGAATGGATTTTGGTCTTTCAGTGTCATCCATGCCCTTGTGTAAAACAGCTGTCGAATTTAAGCTCTAATGTCATTCCCTTCTTTGGATTTGGGTTTTATTATTTATAATCCTTGGATCACACAGGCTGAAGTGCTTCTTCCATGTGGCCTTCATTGATGCCTCAGTAAGATGGCTACTTGTTGAAGACAACCCTTTAAGGGCCCAGATGCAATTCTTAGAGTTGGGCACCATGTAGTTTCTAAACCACACTTTGCTACAGCACCCATAGCTGCAGTGATCTCTTCGTGAGGGCGAGCATCAGGCAGGGCCATGTCATAAGAGCTAATTGTCCTTAGATTGGGGCTACGATTAAGCGGACACACGTTTTTGATGAGAAAGGAACAAGCAGTACCTGCCAAGGCTGCGTCAGCTCAAGGAAACCCATGCGTGTCAGAGAAGAACTCTACTCCGTAGGGTTTTCAACGACCGATGTTTTAGAACCAGATTGCCCGGCCTTTCTTCTGAGGTACCTCTCTGTGGATTTGAACTTCCAATCATCTGGTTAATCTCGACAGGACAATTTGCTCCACCAACCAGGGACCCCAGGGTTACAGTTGGGGTTTTCTAATGCTCCTAGTAGCAACAGATTCCGTCTGCTTCCACTCCAGCCTTCCGGCGCCTTGGGGTGCACTGGGTTAAGCAGCATGGGCTGCTCACAGAAAGTTGGCTGTTTGAAGCTGCCAGCAGCTCTGGGGGGAGAAAGATGGCACCGGGAGGGACCCTTTTCTGAAGGCTCGGGATGGACCAGGGCTCCCCAGGGGTGGATGTCCCGGGCACTAACAGGACCCTGTGGCTCATCAGTGCTGTGCTTTGCAGGTTGCCCACCGCTGGGACTGGAGACCTTGAGGATCACGGACTTCCAGCTGCACGCGTCTACAACCAAGCGCTACGGCCTGGGGGCGCACCGGGGCAGGCTCAACATCCAGGTACAGACAACACGCCACCGACCCGGAGAGGGGGCGGTTCGAGGCCATCCAGAGGCACCTGGGGAAAAAGGCCTGGCCTTGGACTCCCAGAACGCAGGCCACTGAGCGCCCGGTGCATCACAGTCCTGCCCTTGCACATGGGGCAGCCTGATACCACCGCCTCGGTTCCGTGGGGATCACACTGGCCGTTGCTCTGGGGCTGGAGCAGACCCCGCGATGTCAGAACAAAAACAATCACAAAACCGCACAGCCTCCCCAGACACCCACGTAGAGCTGTCCCACTGGGTGGGTCAAGCTGTCATCCTTTCTCTTACGAGTTTTCTTTCAAAGAGTCAAGACTTGATTTGGGTATTTTTATTCTGCATTTTAGCAGGGCGTCCCCCCCCATTTGCCATTTAGTTGTTGGTCATTTTATTGTGATTTGGGTGAAAGAGTACAGAGCAAATTAGTTTCCCATTTCCCTCCCTCCCACCCCCTATGTCCCCACATTTTGTTTCAGGACACAATGCAGGGTCTGCTGTGTCACTCTGGCCACTTCCTCCCTGCCCCTCCTCCCACGTCCCCGAGCTTTGCTTTAGGGCCGATGCTGCGCTTGGGTCTCGGAGGGGTGGCTGCTCTGAGAGCCCCTGCCTGTGGTTAGCCTACTTGGTGACCTCCGGCAGTGAGTCCGGTTCTAGGTTGAGGGGCGTCTGAGGAACGACGGGACGGCATACAACCACAGCAGCAACAGCAGCAATAGCAGTGAGGCCCACTGAGGGGCTCGGGACAGCATGCTGGGGATCTGGGTTCAGTCCCCGGCCATTACAGCCACCGCGGGTTTTAGCAGAGCTTTCGGTCTAAGACAGGCGAGGAGGAAAGGCCTGGTAGTGCACTTCTCAAAACCAACCCACACAAACCCTGTGGGTCACAGCTGCCCTCTGCCTCTCACTGTGCACAGGGCCTCTGGGAGATGATGGGGGCTGACGCGGTGGCAGCTGTCAAGGATGTCCTCCCTGCCTCAGAACGTGATGTGGATGCTTCTGCGTGTTGCTGGGGTGCCTGCCATTGACCCCAGACAGAGGCAGGCGGACCACAGCATGGGGCTGGGTTTGTGCTTCAGCTCCGTCCAGCCACCCAGGTTCCCTAGCAAATGCTGACTAGTTCAGGCCCCAGTTTCCAGAGTCAAGACCCCACGGCACGGTATCTGATCTTCCCAAGTGCGTAAGTCAAGTGAATCCCCTCAAATCCACCTCCCCACACACCGTGCTTCCCAATGCAGACTGAACTTGCCCAGTCTTATTTTTCTCTTTTTCTTTCCCATCCTCCCTCCATCATTCCTGACCCCCCCCCCCACCCCGTCCCTGGCCTCCTTATAGCCTTCAAAGTCTTACCTGTTGTTGGGAAAACAACTTTTGTTTTTCTTGTCTTTTCCTTATTTATGATAACGGTGTCATGAAATACTTCTTTCTAAGACTGACCAACGTGGCTTCAGCACAATGTCCTCTAGTTTTGTCCACGTCACGCTGTGTACAAGAGAGGTGTCATTGTTTTTACTGATGCGTACTATTCCAGGAACTGACCCCGCCTTGTCTCACGGGTGAAGATTTTGTAGGCATGTCAGCGAATAGAATTTCATGCACGGAGCGTCCTGGCATCAAAACTAGTCACCATATTCACAGCGATAGAGCAGCGAGCTAGTTTCGTCCACTCTCTGCTGGCCAGGCTCTGTGGCAAGGACTGGGTGGTGGTCCAGGCTGGGGCACTGTCTCGTTTCTGCCTCACAGGAGCTGGGGCCCTTAGGCAAGCTGCCCATTTTCTCAGAGCCTTGAGGTACAATGGCCCCCTGCTCCGCCCTGCCCCCCTTCAACTCTGTTACCTTCAGAGTAGCTCTCGCTGCAAAAGAAGCCAGGAAGTGCAAGCCCTGAGACTCTTTCAACATTGACGATGCCCACACCCGTGAGAACTCTCTCCTTCCACAGACGCCTGCGAAGAAGAGCCCGTTCCTGCTGGGCCCGCTAAGGGCAGGGACGCGAGCTTCTGGTTCACTCCGGACTCTGCCTGGTCATGGAACCAAGCTCAGCCTTTTCTGGGAATTGTTTCCTTTAGTTCCAACCCGAGGGAGTGCTCTGATGGAAAAGACATGGGCGGTGTTGCTGACAAGACCTGCCCTGGTTCCCCCTGCACCTGGTTTGTGGGTGCCAAGACGAGCACCATGCGGTGATATGCCCCGAAGGTCGCTGAAAGGCCAGTGACTTGGGTGCACCAGGGGCACCCAGAGCCAGTGGTGTCTGACACATGTGCATCAGCATGTCCTCGTTTTGCTCTCCTGGGTGCCCTGTAGGGGGAGGGCCTTCGCCAAATCCAGGGTCAGCCTGCTACCCCAGAAGGACTGGACTGGACTCCTGTTTGACAGTCAGGTTAGTAGGACAACTCTTGTCCCCGAATCCTAAACACAAGGACCCTAGATGACAAAGTAGAATGGCTTCATGGGGTCCCCAAGGTTGTAATCTTCATAGAGGCAGATGCTACAGCTTCCTACAGTTCACCTGCTGGGTTTGAACATCTGGCCTTTCGGTTAGCAGCCTAGCACTTAACCACTGTGTCACCAGGGCCCTGCTTCCTCCCCTGTGCTGGAAAGTAGTAATGTAGGTGCTTGGATGATGGTTTGGAACAAGGAGGTGGTATTTCACGGTCACAGGAAAAGACAAGGGCTTCCAGATGGCTTGTGGTGGTCTGGCCACAGCCCCCAACCCTCTGTGGTCCACTCGCGTTTGAAGTGGGTCAGAGAAGTCCATTGCTAGTGCTGCTTTCGTAGGGAAGGGCTGGCTGTCGGGGCCATGGTCTGCCAGGACCGGGATGAAGCTGAACGCCCATAATCATTCCACTGCAAGCATCCCAGGACACCAGGATGCTGGAATCTGATCCAGCCCTGATGTAATAGAGAGGCTTGTTTTGTTTTATAACTGATAGGGTCTGAACAATTTGAAGAAGGACCAGATCCATGGCTTTCCGTGCGCCCTGGGGGAAGACACTGTTCAGTGCTGAGACATAGAACCGACGTCTGTCCTAGCGCTCCTGACCCCCTCTCATGACAGCTCACCAGATTCATACACATGTGCCACTGGGTGACCTCCCGTAGCCTTCAGACCCATGCACCCAGGGCCCTGATCACCCAGTCCTTCAGGGACCGCTGGTATCCTGGCAGAAAGGTTACTGGGGGGCCTCAGCATGGCACTGGTTTCTTAGGTGTCACCTGGGCACCCCCCACACCTGCTCACCTCAGCCTTTGCAGATCTGCCTGGTGCCCTGGGTCTTGGTCTCCAGTGCATGTCAGGCTCACTAAACCTCCAGCTCTGGAAGTTCTCTGGGTCCTGGGCGGGGGGGATACATGCTGCTAACCAGAAGGTTGATGGATGGTTCAGATCTACCCAGAGCTGCCTCGGAAGAAAGGCCTGGAGGTCTACTTCCAAAAGTTCAGATCCGCTGGAAGCCCCGGGGAACAGTGGCGCTCCGAAACACATGGAGTCACCCTGAGTCCCAGCTGGCTAGACTCTAGCCGGCTCAGGGTCTCGGGTGGTACTGTTGAGAGCTCGACTGCTAACCAGGAGGTCCAGCGTACCTAGGAAGGAAGAAAGAATGGTGAGCTGCTTCTGCAAGGTCACAGCTGTGAAAAGCCCATCGAGCGAGCGCAGCCCTGCTCTGAGACACAGCGGATTTTCTGTGCTGCCCAGGCGAAAACAACCACAAGGGGTGTTGTTTACAAACCAAAGAATGCTGGGCTTGTTCGGAGAAAGGGATGCTTTGCTGCACCTGGCTTCAAGCAGCCGTCTGGGAGCCGGTGTTTGGGTGCTAGATGCGGGCGGCTTGGATATTTGTGTCTGGATGGGAAGATCAGGACTCGGTACGTTCAACGGCATGCTCTCGGAAGGCTCACGCAGAGGACTTATCCCGGGGGTTAGAATGTGCTGTTCTTACATGCCAGGAGCTGACCTCAACAGCCCAGGAGATGAGCTAGGCGTAGAAGAACACACAGCAGAGGCGAAAGGGAGCCCCACATAATAAGAGCCCCCCTCCAGCCCACGAATTGCACGTCGCTATGGAAACTCCAAGACTGGCTGGTGCCGGCGCTGCTCCCCTGCCCCTTGCTAGCTGTCAGCCCCTCTGCCGAGCACACTTTTCTTTACTGCCTCTTCCAGAGGAGCCCTGGTGGCGTAGGTGGGTTGTGAGCGACAAGGTTGGCAGTTCTAAACCGCCAGGGGCTCTGCAGGAGAAAGAGGAGGCTTTCTGTCCCCATAAAGAGTTGGAGTCTGGGTACCCCCAGGGGCAGTGCCACCCTGGCCCATAGGGTGGCTGTGTGTCGATGGCGGTGGCTTTGTTTTGGTGTCTCTTAGCATGTCTGGAGGGGTGTCTCTGGTGTGGAGGTAAGGAAAGGAAAGTCTGATCAGGGAAGGTCCCGCTCACCCTGGTCCCTCCGCTAGAGACCCCAGAGCTGAGGCCCACATGCAGGCCTTTCAATGCCAGGTGAGCCTGGTGCAAGTCCCCTTGCCCCCTCCTGCATCAAGAGATGACTCATGTGGCCCCCAAACTCCTGGCCTCTCTTTGTGTTCCATCTTGGGGCTCATCTCCCTGCTGCCCTCTTTCTGCTGGGTCCATAGAAGCCTGTGGGTGCCATAGTGCCACACTGTGCCTTCAGTGTCACACTCCAACGGGCCTTCTCTTGGAGACTCAGGTCCCCCTCTCTCACCTAAGTGTGTGCACCTGGGGTTCGGTGGGCAGCGGTTTTCTGTTGGTGCTTGACTGGAGCCAGCCAGCCGGAGAGCCTCCGGGAGAGGAGGAGGGTGACAGAGAAGAAAGAGAAGCTGCTTTCAAACATGCTTCGTTTAACACGAAGCAAACCCTGAGGGTGCTTACACGGGCTGAGCGCCGCATGCAGCCCCCGATGTCGATTCAGATCCAGACACAGTGCGCCATGCTTGTACCTGCCATAGCTTCCACGGAGGGGCTCCCCTGGAGTCCTGCTG